AAGGTTCCAGCAGACAGCACCGAAGGTTCCAGCAGACAGCACCCAAGGTTCCAGCAGACTGCACCCAACGACCCAAGGTTCCAGCAGACTGCACCGAAGGTTCCAGCAGACAGCACCGAAAGTTCCAGCAGACTCAGCAGACTGCACCCAAGGTTCCAGCAAACAGCACCAGGTTCCAGCAGACAGCATCCAAGGTTCCAGCAGACTGCACCCAAGGTTCCAGCAAACAGCACCGAAGGTTCCAGCAGACTGCACCCAAGGTCCCAGCAGACTGCACCGAAGGTTCCAGCAGACAGCACGGAAGGTTCCAGCAGACTGCACCCAAGGTTCCAGCAGACATCACCCAAGGTTTCAGCAAACAGCACCCAAGGTTCAGCAGACTGCTCCCAAGGTTCCAGCAGACAGCACCCAAGGTTTCAGGACGGGATTCTGGTTTTGGCGCCCCGTGGACCAACTGTGTACCACTCCCACCCCCAGAGATTGTAACCCAACTGCAGCAGTCTGCTGTTGGGAATAAGGATCAATCAGAGTTCCTTTGGAAAGATACCACTTCTGAAAAGGAACCTTCTAGAAGACTACGCGTTTCTTTGAGCACGCATCAGCTCCTTGGCATCAGCAGGTTCTCTTCTTGCACTACCAGCGTGGCTTTGCATCAACCTGTTTGAATGGCGCTTTACAAATATCACCGAAACGCTATGCTTACAATCTGCTTGATATGCATACCTTTACTGTTTCTATTTCCGGTGCATGAACAAAGCTCTCTGTGACTTGGCACCAGCCCGGGGCAGGAGGCATTTTCCCGTTCTCCTCCAGGCCTCAACCATGCAACCAAGCCAGCTTGCGACAAAAAGACTGACATGTTCGTTGAAATAGGATGTAAGTAGAAGGTCTTGGATGGCCACCTTCCAACATCCGCACTAGTAGTCCAGATGGATGCTTGGCATTGCCTCGAAAACCGGAGTCCATCATTGCTTCCCATCAACTGACATTCTAGCTCGTTCCTTCAGTCAGTAAATCCACTCTGAAACCCAGACCAATGCGCTCGTCCATGTCTTTCAAATCCTGGTGCAGCCAAATGACCCACTACTTAGCAACCTGCCAAGAAAGAGGCCACGCACAAACAGCGCGGGCCGTGCAGTCCTGGGATTTGTGCTTCCCTCTCTTCTTCATGGTTTTGATTAGTCGGTGTAAAAGCTGATCGTCCAAATTGTATTTCCAGGCAAAATCTTTGATCTCCGGGTCTAGCAGGTCTTTGCCTTCAGCTTCAAGGGCCACGCAAAGACCATGCAAAGTTTGAAATCGAGTGTTGGCAAGTCGACTCATCCGCATTGACACTCTGTATGGCATCGAAACTTTCCAACATAATCAGGTCACAACCGCAGGACTTGCGGCATGAAAGTGCAGTAATAAGCAACGACAAACTAGACAACGTGTAGAAAAATGTACGGCATCTACCCCGCACCGGCTTCAACTGGTAACTAGTCAGAAACCTTCAAATTTGGTCGTGGATTTGCATTGAAGCCTTCTATATACACTTTGATTTTCAACAAGGTGCCAATAAATGTGCCATTGTTGATCTCGCGGATCTTCACGAGCATCACATCTACTGATTTCTTGTTATTTTTGGCACCCTTCTCCATGATGTGCCATAGGACTTGCATATCCTCATCAAAGTCTTCTCTGGTCTTCATTGCCTGGCCCGCAACTTATATAGAAAAACTGCAAAGTAACCAAACGACAAATTAAAGCCACACGTTGGCCTGCAACTTGTAGAGCACGAGACGCAGGTACAGTACTGCACTCAAAACAAACATAAACACTTCCCACGATGGAGAAAAATCTGCCCACACCGAAGGCGTGTTATATCCCCGAGCACGCACGAACTGGGAGCACGTGCAAGAACCAACTTTGATTATATAGGTGATTTTAATTCAGCAAGGTATGATTGTCGTTTGCAAACTTGCACAAATACTCAACATTTGGTCAGGATTCAGATATGAGTTTGATTTACACAAGTCCAACATAGAGCCAACTAATGAGTTGAAAAATTGAATTCCAAAGCAGCATGGAGTGTCTTTCAAGAACAGGCCTTGTTTAGCTTCTCGCAAATCTTGTCGTCTATACCAAAGTGTCGGCAGATTTCCTTCACTCTGGGGTCTATTTGCTCTGGAGGTGGCTGGGCTACCTTCTCCTCCTCTTCCTCCGCATTCCCCATTGCCATGTTCATCATAGCTGCCATATTCATCATGGCCTTGCAGGGTAGCGCACAAAGGAAAATTACATGAATACAGCAAGTGTGTTCCGGCTGAGCACAAGACCATAGGGTTCATGGTGCCCATCATGGGCATTGCACCCATGCCCATCATAGGCATGCCCCCCATATTTCCCATACCACCCATACCACCCCCCATGCCACCCCCCATTCCACCTCCCATGCCACCCCCCATGCCACCACCCATGCCACTTCCCATTCCACCGCCCACGCCAGCCATGCCGCCACCACCCATGCCGCGCCCCATTCCACCTCCCATTCCACCAGCCATTCCACCAGCCATTCCACCAGCCATTCCACCACCCATTCCACCACCCATTCCACCACCCATTCCACCACCCATTCCACTACCTATTCCACCAGCCATGCCACCAGCCATGCCACCCATTGGCATGCCACCCATACCACCCATACCGTTCATCGGCATCGCCCCCATAGCACCTGGCATCATACCAGGCATCATTCCTGACATTGTGCCTGCGGGTGATTGCCAGGCTTGCACATCGATTTGGGCAGAGAATTTTGGCAGCTTCAAAATCACCAAGCGGCTAGGAGAAGAAGTTGGCGATGAAAGACCTGGACAGCCACCTGGACAGCTTCCAGCACATCCGCTACCAGGACAGCCGCCACCTAACAAATGGGCAAGCGATGAAGGACAGAAGACAAATCAACTGCCCCGCTTGGACGATTTATGCGCCTGGCACCATGAGCAAAGCACTTTGACTTCGCACGGCCACGGTGGCTTTGGAACGCTGCAGAAACAGCTCAGCAAGTGCTGAAGAAGCACCAAAAAGGGGACGTTCTATCCGCGATTTTTTGCTGAGTGGGACATGTTGGTTGTCCTATTTCAGAATGAGTCCACGTGCTATCACCATTGTTCCTGGTGGTTCCTTGTAGATTGTTGGACCTAGGTGGCGACACGAAAGTCTTGACTATACATGTCAACACAAGTATGGCGTCTGGGTCACTCAGGCTGTGGGAACAAGCGTGGTTCAACAGAATATGATGCATGGTCCAGGACCAACTCTAGCAGCTATATATGGTTTCTGTTCCTCTTTGATCGTTCCGTAGCTGCCTGCGCTGGATTGCCAGACCTCTGCTTAATATTGCCCATCATTTCTTGTGGTGAGAACAACGTGGCTTCGGCGAACTGATTGCAATGCAAGCAAGAAATCAATCAGCCACGACGGGTAGCAAGTAGCGAAAACGCAGCGCAAAGGATTTTTACCTTGCGTTCACAAAGATCTCACAAACCAGTTTGCGCGTCACTCAATCCACATCTTGAACCTCAGCGCGTAGATGCAATTTGTGCAATTTTGGCTTGGAGAGGGTAAAGCGGCGCATCGAATGTTTGGACGTGTCAAATGTTCATTTGCCTGGATAGTGCAGATGCCATGGAAGCCTGAACACAAGACTCCGCTGCAAACTGAACGATCCCAAATGGACTGAGCTGGTCCTTCAGCCCTTCCATCTCGCTCGACAAGCTCTGCGGCATAGGCACCTAGTGGCACACGTTGCCAAATGCTTGGTTGGGCAAGGAGAACAAGACTAGAAGTTATATATATATATGCATACACAAATATTTGTATATATGTATATATATATAATGTTTATTAGCTAGATCCCCGAGTAATGTTCTGTTGGCAGGTGTCCGAACAGAGTGGTCAGAGTGGGGTGTGTGATTTGTAGGGTGTGGGTGATCAGTGTACAAGTTCGCGGCGCGACGGTGCGCAGCACAAGGTGGGAGGGTGCAAGGGGGGGTGCAACAGGCAAGGCGCTACAGTCACTGCACTGTTCACATTGAAAACTGTTAGCAGCTACTGGCCTCTTTTTGGCAGCGATCCCAGGTTCGCAGCAAAGGTGCGAAGCTCACAGACTTCTCATCTGTCTGTGGCTCACTTTGACTGTGACTTGGCGATCCACATCGAGTCAGCCGTCGCTTGTCCGCGGCAGGAAAAGTCACCTCTCCGGATTAGGCGTCAAATCGGGACTGGTTCCCTTGTGCCTCGAAATTTACACATAGTCACACGACGCAATTTCCCATAAGGAGCCTGACAATTCACAGTGACAAATTCCAACGCGTAACTTGCAACCTGCAAACGAGGTTTGTTATCTCCTCAGTCCCTCGCTCAAACCTGCTATGCTGCCAGTGAATTTGTGTCAGCTGTCGGCCTCCCAGTCGCTACTAGAATGAAGCAAATATCTTGAACCTTGGCCTTGGCCAACGTCTGCCTGATACGGTGACTGGCTTCCGCCAAAACAAAAAAACAACCAAAAGCCCTGTGTGGTAGCATTGAATCCCATACCCAGAAAGTTACTAAGCTCTGGGCCTTGCAGCGCTGCGTGAGAGCGGTCAGCAGTCCTCCTACTTGCCTCCAAACCGTTGCAGAACGCTTTGCTCTGAGTCCGACGGCAGCTACGATGCGCTGATGATGATACTGCGCATACCTCGCTGACCATGCTACCTTTACATACTCGAATTCGACCCCGACTGTTCAACTTAGGAAGGTTTCAGTCGTCACACAGAACTTGATCTGACGTGAGCGCTGCGTCTGATGGACATTGAATGGCCCTCGGTTCCTAGGTTGACCTCAGTGATACGACCTTAGAACCCAAACAAGGGACGCCAAATCAAAACAAGGAATTCAAGAGAAGAAAAATGCCATGAGGAACCAGAACAAAAGAAACTTGAAGCGCGGCAACCGCAACAGCAAACAAAATCCGCAGCGAGCACGAAAAGGGTGGGTTTGAGCATTGTAGCACTACGCATAGCCTTTGGAATCTCGCCAAGGCATTGTTCTTGGAACAATTGGAATTGTTGTGGTTGACTTGCTTGAAGAAGCACACTGGTGTGAACCATGACTTGAACTCGTTGCGGGCATTGCCATGGGTGCCCCAGCTGCGCTCTACGCGGTCTTTGCTTTCTTTGATACAGTCTGGCGCGCAGGTGATTTGGCGCGTGTCTTTCCTGGTCTCTTTTGGCCACTCTAGCCATAGCTGTACATATGTAATTCTGTTTTGCACCGCTACCATCTTCATCCTCCTTCTCCTCCTCCTCTCATTTGGAGCATCATCACACAGCTGCTCAGCAGAATGAAGGTTCAATCTCGCATAGCGAAGCAGCAGTGTAGAGCAAGCCCTCACTGCACAAGTCTCCTCGGTCGGCTTCCTTGCTTTTGCAAAACTGAGGAACAATGATGGAAGAGGGTGTACCGTAGCAAGCCCAGCACTGTCAGCGGCCATTCGAGCCGAGCTGTGGGCGATCCCTTCTTGACAAACTCTATGGCAGTCGGGTTTGAAAGACGCGCGGGCCAATAGATAAAGGCCCATCAAATGAGCTTCTAGAGACACTGAACAGCGCCTTCGCTCGCTCAAACAAATCGTTGCGCTCATCCCGACAACACCTTTGCCAAGCACCATATGGCAGGGGCCGTCATCCTCTCTTCAAACACGTTGTACCTGAGTTTTCAACAAAGTTGCCCCACGTGTTGTGTTTGTAGACTGCTTGAGCGCTGTCCAGAACCAATCACATTGCGCAGCCACAGCCTCTTCGATCAAGGTAGAAGGAGGCCTATCATCGTCACTAGTGACAGCATCCTGAAGCTAGGCTCTTAAGGGATCGCAAGAGAACAGGCAAGATTGCACATTGTGGAGAACAGCTTTGTTGGACATCTCCTAGCAACAAGTACAAGGGTCTAGCAGTTTGGTGAGGTTTGCAAGCTAGTTCGCTGTCTCCATTCATCCGGCGCTTCGTTTGGCAGAGGAACCTCAAGACGGCGTGCAACCTTGCCAAGACATGACGCCCATGAAGCTAATGAAAGTGATCGCGTTACATTGACTTGCTTTACTTTGCCGGGAACAGTGCGCGTTCTGCGAGGCGTTGATGTCCAACCAGTACTGCCGACTCCAATGCCCTATACGTCTGGTAAGGCAAACAAAGCAGGTTCTTTTATCATCTCTCACGTGTCCCAGCCCTTATTAAAAATATCAACATACTATATTTTGGCTGCTAGCAAACGTGGTGTTCTTCTTGCATCTCTGAGAGCGTATGTTTTGATACCAGACCGGCGCTGCTTGCATTAAACACCCATTGTTGCAGCAGCGCTGTGCCATGGCAGCCGATGCAAAGTACAAGCTACAGTAGACAGGCAGCAATTCAAATGAATCAGTTGTGCATCGTGAATGAAGCTTGGGTTGCAAGTCAGTCCTTCTTGCTTTTGCCACGACCCTGCAGCAGCACAGTGGCTGAGCGTCGAAGCCTCTTTGTTGCTGATTGCGTGCTTAGCTGAAAGAAGCGCTTTGAACACGCACAGCACACCGGCACTAGGAAACAATTAGCTCATTCATCATTCACCTACAGTACATGAAGGAAGTATCAAATATTAAATCGAATGAAATCAAGCGCAGCAAATGAATAAGGTAAACAATCACGGTCGGTCACCCACCTTTGCATCTGGCAGCCTGGGATTTACCAGTGATTTTCTTGTCTTTGCCCACGCCCAAGCTAATCAAATCTTGCTGTCTCACTGCGCATTCCCGGCTGTAGCGTTCCAACTTGCACCTCTTATTCCAAACTCAGCAACTCCAAGGTATGGAATAGTATGGAATAACATATTATTTCTGTGTATTGGTCCTGAAAAGCAAAGAGCTAAGCCCACTTAACTGAACAGTTGAACACTGCTCCTTGCATGTGACATGATCTTTTGGTACTTCAGGCGTTCCTTGATCGTCTTCTTTCCTGGCCAAAATCAAGGAATAGATTTGGTAAAACATATGTTGAGCGTTGAGCCCCATAAGATCGCTCATGCGTTTTCATGTTGAGACAGCGATCAAACTCTGAGAGCTACAGCCCCCCAAGCCTTCAATTTTCCAAGGCCTTCTACAGTGACCTCAACGTTCTCAAGCTTTTCGCTCTCTCAAGCCTTGCGCTATCTTGCGCTAGTGCAGCAGGCGCAGTGCAGTTCGACAATGACCTGGCAGAGGCCCCCCAAACGACACTTCTTCGAAGCTCCGCCAGTGCGATGTCAGGGGGCAATTGCGTATCTTAAGCAAAACCAGTTGCCTCGCATCCACTTTTCCATACTACAGGCCAGCACAGCTACAACAATTCCAGCAGGGCGAGCGAGAGCTGCAAAACTATGAAACCAGTTGCGGGCGGTCTGCGCAACAATTGCAAGCATCATTACCCACCCACCCACAGTCTAACACCCACACCCCACACCCAAGACCCCACACCTTCCAAATGTAGCCCTCCCACCCTCACGTTGGAGCATGACAGAAAACATGCGTATCATTACTCTTAAATTTAGCTACAGTGTATATGTAAATATATAACAATATATACACATACCACTTGCTCTTTGGATGATTGGATGACACATCAATCACAGAAGACGCAGGGTCAACATTTTTGGTTGTTGTATTTGAGGCTTTACGGCTTGTACTATGCAACAGTTTTTGCAAATTCCAGGCACCAAATCGGGGTGTCGCAAATGCAAATCAGCTTGCGCCCAAGCAATGCCGGCTCCAAAGCCAACCCCTTGGGGTTGCAACGGCAGAAGTGAAATGCTGCAAAAGGACACCGTCAACTAAACCCTACACAACTCATTCTTGCTAGGGACAAGACCAAGTCCGCCACAAAGACAGCGGAGCCCTTTCCCCCTGGAGAAAGGCATAGTGGCATTTGTCCACGCTCAACAACAAACAGTAACAAACAAACACCCAAGGCGCATGATGTGAAATCACATCCACCCCAAACAACAACGCATAATTTGCCGCAGTCCTGAAAAGAATGCATCCCGGTATAATGGCCACAGAACCCAGCGCTGCCTTGACAAAAGGTAAAAAATTGCACAAGTGCAAGCACATTTCATCTAGTATTTCTCTCCACAGAATGTTGTGATCCTTTTCGAACATACCAAATACTTTGCCCTGTTCCAGCCAGATGGCCCATGGGCGACGCCACGTCACCAGAACTACAATGTACTATATTGCAATCTGGTGTGGTGCCTCAGCCTCCAATCACCACTGAACCTGTTGCCCATAGCCACTCACTTCTTCTTTGTCCGGTGAAGCCCCAGCCCGGAGCTCCGCTGCCGATTTCTGGTGGTGTTAATCACACACGTTCATTTAACTGATTAAGCCTGATAAGCTGCAAGCCATTCATTTTGCACGCTTCCTTGATATAGATTTCACACCGCCCAACTTGCGCTCTTGGCCCCAAATGTTCTCATACATTTGAAACACATCCCCTTGGCCTCCGCCTTGGAAATGCAGAATGGCCCACCCAACTTCTCCCGTCTGTTCATAAGTCTTCAGAATCTAGAATCTAGTCTCCTCATCATGGATTGGCGCCCTACATAATCTCCTGATACAGCTAGACGGTTATAAGTTATAAGTTATAGGTGCAGTTTAGATCAGTTTAGTTATATAAGTTTTGTTCACGCCTCTCTTGATCCAAATTCTCCGGCCAAAGGGAGCAAGGTCGACTGGCAGGATCAGCCAGGTCTCCCAGCTACAAACAAATCAGGCACACGTTCGGAACTCATCTTCATGACAGCTATTTCTTAAAGCTCTTGCCTTCGCCCACATGGATGATGTGGTGATCTATGATGCACTGCGGTTTGTTGGTGGGGTGAATGTGAATGCGGTGAAGTGTGACCGTGACTTTCTGATTTGTCTTGTGGAGGCTGGGAGCCTGATGTTTTCGGCGGAAGCTGGAGTTTGCCTACGGGGCCACGCGCTGCCATGCGGCTCTTGTTTGCGCTTGTTTGCGCTTGGAGACATTTGCGCAAGATTCGGAAGCGCAACCCAATTTTAGTTGTGGGCGGGGACCGTCGGCGTCCCATTTTTTGATGACCTTCTTACGAGCTCATCAGCCCATTGTGTTCTACTACATATGTTTTCCTACATGTTTTAATATTTGTTGTTACTGCGTGTCTTTTCATGTCTTTGTATTTACTATATTTTTTGATATGTTTTTGTCGATTCTATCGTTTTTTTTTTGGACGCCCGTGGACCCCTGTTCTGTTTTGGTTGGGCAAAGAGATTGGCTGTGTTTTTGGCAGGCGCTGCCTAAATACACAGCGCTGCAGCAAACAATGTTTTCTCAATTTCAATGCAAGTTGAGTTGCATGGCGCCTTCCAACCTTATTGACCTGTTCAGGAAGTAGACCTGTACTGACTGAGTGCAACTGTTCCCCCCGATAGTGCTCATGCTACTAGGCACGTACAAAAGGTCTTGATATGAATAGGCCAAGGCTGGCTCACAGGAGTTTTTGCTTACGACGTCCGAAAGCAGCGCATCTCATCCCCACTGATTATACAGACATTAAATTAAGATATCAAACCAGTGTCGGGCTTGGTGCGCAGTACTTCAAACACTGGGTGACTCCAGTGCACATTGCTTAAATGATCTTCAATTTTAAAAAATGTTACAAGATGGAGCCCACGAACCCGAATGCAAACACGTTCGAAAAGCTACATATGTCCAAATGACACTCTTGTAGGACGCTCTTGTGAGTCACTCTTGTGGGAAGCTCTTGCGGGGCACTGTTTTGGGACACTCTTGTAGGACACCCTTGCGGGACACTCTTGTAGGACACTCTTGTGGGACACTGTTGCGGAGCACTTTTGTAGGACACTCTTGTGGGACGCTCTTAAAGGACACTCTTGCAGGTCACTCCTATGGGACACTCTCTTGTGGGACACTCTTGTAGGACACTCTTGTGGGTCACTCTTACACGACACTCTTGTAGGACACTTCTTGTGGGACACTCTTATAGGGCACTCTTGTGGGTCACTCTTATGGGACACTCTTGTAGGACACTCTTGTGGGACACTCTTATAGGACACTCTCGTGGGACACTCTTGTGCGACGCTCTTGTAGGACACTCTTGTAGGACACTCTTGTGGGTCACTCTTGTAGGAAACTCTTGTGGAACACTCTTACAGGACACTCTTGTGGGACACTCTTATAGGACACTCTTGTGGGTCACTCTTATGGGACACTCTTGTCGGACACTCTCGTGGGACACTCTTGTGGGACACTCTTGTAGGACACTCTTGTGGGACACTCTTGTAGGACACTCTTGTGGGAAACTCTTGTAGGACACTCTTGCGGGACACACTTGTGGGACACTGTTGTGGGACACTCTTGTAGGAAACTCTTGTGGGACACTCTTGTAGGACACTCTTGTGGGACACTCTTATGGGACACTCTTGTGGGACACTCTTCTAGGACACTCTTGTGGGACACTGTTGCGGGGCACTCTCGTGGGACACTCTTGTGGGACACTCTTGTGGAACACTCTTGTAGGAAACTCTTGTGGGATACTCTTGTAGGACACTCTTAAGGGACACTCTTGTGAGACACTCTTGTGGGACACTGTTGCGGGACACTCTTGTGGGACACTCTTGTG